TTCTGGTTTTTTTATGGTTTTTGGGCATTTATAATTTGAAAGCCCAAATTATTGAGTTAAGTAGCTTTGACGAAGAAAAATAAAACTAAGTAAAATGTTTAACCATTGTGTATAGTCTTAAAATTTAATAGAGTGCAACTATAAGAAGTCCTGATTTACCAGTTAAATAGATAAGCTGTCTAAATAAAGATATGGATATATAATATATGAGAGAGGATTTAAGGTTCAACATGCTTATATTTATTACGTTATACACAACAGTACACATACTTGTATATTTAACACTGTTTTTACCAGGAAACTTTTGGCATCACTCATTTATCAAGGAATATTTTCGTATGCTGATAATGATCTTTTTAGTTGTTTAATAATCAACTCATTACACAATCTCAAGTATCTGTTTGTTTTTATATTAGGAAACAAACTATTTATAGCCATCTTCAAAAAACAGATGTGATTTGAGTTGATTACACACATTTAATACCTATTTAACTTGAACCCAAGGACTTAAATAACAAAGCAAGTTTTTACAAAGCATATTATGATTATTATAAAAAACATAAAAACTTGCATTAATAAATAAATAAACAAACAAGGCTTTATAACAAAAGGTTCTTTACATGTGCCTCTTGAGATTATATTCAGATATCACCTGCTGATTTTAATTACCACTGGAAGTAGGACATCATGAAATGCCTATGATGCTGGAATAAAATATAGTGATAAACTCTTTTTCTATTGTGCCTGAACTAATTTCTTCTGAATCAAGAAAAGATAACATATAACTGATAACTCCACTAAAAGTTATAAATATACGAAATTCCATTAATAGTAAAGTTTTATTCTAATGTAAAGAAATAAGATCTAATAATTTTAAAAAGCATTTACCACTACGAATAATTTAAACAGAAAAAAGTATATTTTCATTACAACGTATAACTACAGAGATCAAAATGTAAATTCTACATTTACAGTATTAAAAGAAATGAAAAATACATTTATAATTAAATATTGTTTTTCATGTTTTAACAATAATGTTTATTTAACAGAATATTTCCCTTATTAATTTCTTAATAATGACAAATAGATTTTACCAAACTAACAATAGTTTAATATCAAGGTTATTTTATGTGTGAAGTACTGCTTGATACACATTGAAACATTTGTTAAATACTTACAAGAATATTAATTTCTAATGAGGCATGTAAGCTTGATTAAAACTCTGATATTCAAGAAAAGTATTAAGCAGACTATAGTTGGACACAAAATATGATATACTAAAACAACTGCCTGTATGAATAAACAACACTTGATTTTTTACTATTTAAATAAAAATGAAAATAAAATTATCTTTGTTTCCTTATTTTGTACATTTCTACAATTATAGCAATTCTTATACATGTATTATTCAACTTTTAAGCAATCTAAAAAGTATTGTAATGTTTTATCTATAATCTGAAATATGAAACTGACAATAATAATAAGACATTATACTCCTAAGTAATTTGCATTTGGATGTGGATAACAGACCTTCAATATCAAATCAAAATATTGAAAAAAAAGGGAAAGTGAAACAGACAAAAGAGGTCCACAAGAAAACTGCTTCACCACAAATATATTTATTAAAATATATACATGCCTCATAGTAAAATGCCACCAAATTTTATAGGTTATAAATGTCTATGAAAAAGACATTTTCTTATATTTTAATGACCACTGCTATGATAGAGAAGGTAGCAGTTTAAAGAAGTTGCAGTAAGTCACAACAGTGATGCAAGTACAAAGAAAGGAATATATATAGGTATGTAGTGACTGTAAATGTACTTATATCTACATATTATATTTTGTGTTAACATATATTTACAGAAGAATTATGTCACAGAATACATTATTCAAGTTATATATACTTGTAAAGTTTAAAAAATATACAGACGTGCTTAATTTGGCATTTTTGTCGTAATTAAGCCTTGAAAAGATATAATGATAGATTCAACAGGCATTCTGAAAAATCATAATTAAACTTTGGATGTATTTTATGATATCTAACTGTACATATTTTAGACGATTAAGTATAGTATATATAATAAGTGCAAGCTAATATGACAAAGTTAGGACAGTATGTGAGGGACAAGGCATTATAATCTTTTATGAAAATATACTTAATGATTAAGTAATTGTAAGATATGTATTTTAAACAGTAATTTAGTTGTACTTAAAGTAAAGTCTGCCACAGATTTTAACATATATTTTAAACCACTGGTATTTCTGAAAAAAAAATAAGTAGTAATAAAGAAACTTTTACTTAATTACAGCAAGAACTGTACAGATATGTTTAATTGCAATATATTTTTGTAATCACCACAAGAATTATCAAAACTGGTATAATACTTTCCATACTGGCTCCATAAAAAAATATTAGTATATATTTTGTTTGTAGCCATAACAATAATTGAAAGATCTCTTTTCAGATATCATTAAATTCAGGTAATGATGACAATTACTACCAATCAACAGTCTCATTCTTGTTTTGTGAAGAAAAACTTTGATACAGTCTAATCCATATACATAAGACTTCCACAAAAATAATACAGATATATATACACACATTTCACTTCAAGAGTTATAACAGGTAATGCTTTTAATTTCTTTTATCAAACTATTAGCTTGTTGTTATTATGTTTTGTTAAAGCTATACCTGCAGGAGTTGTCATTTAAATAACAATTGTTATACTTTTACTTTCTATAAGAAGTTAGTAAAAGTTTTTTACTTTTTATAACAAGAAACAAATTTTTTAGTGAAAAATTACCAATGTAACCATTTAGCTTTACTATTTAAACAGTTTTTCTTCAAAAAGGTAGGCTTACTGCATTTGAAGGAAGCATTTTTTAAATCCAAAATTGGATCACATGAGCAAAAAAAAATATCATGTGATCACAAACTTTATAAACACAATATTTCAAAGAATTTGTATTGATTTTGGTTAACTATGAAAGAGGTACAGTTTTTAATCCATTTTTACACCTGTGACAAAAATAGATAAGCCTTTTGCAACATTTCATTTTATGTGGGACTGATTAAAAAAAAGTTACAGACTAGTTGTTGAGGCTAATACAATATTACAATATACCAACCCAAAAAGCTGTCTCACTTTAATTATTAAGTAAGCAAAATATGAAACTAAATTTGTGTAGTAAATTATATTATTCAGTGTAATAATATCATTTAAACCAACAATGCTAGTGGAAAGTAGAATTTTTAATACTATAATCAGGTATAAGCTGATGGTTCACTTTATTTGTAACTTTATTGAAGTTTATATTAAAAGTATGTTATAAGGAATGCATTTCATTTTTATATATACAATGTTCCCAAAAATGCATGACATTTAAAGGGCAGATAAATAAAACTAGAGTACAAACTGGAATGTGTGAAAGGTAAAATTTACAGTAAGAGAACCATCTTTGAAAGCAGGGACTTGTGGAATGGGAAGAAGCACGATCTATTTACAGATCTCATCTATGAAAACTAAAAGAGTTGAGATATGGGTGTTCAAGCCCACAACTAAAACTATCATGTATCATCTGCAGTCAACTGTAGAAGCTGATTGCTATTAACAAAACAAAAATGCAAGAAAAGAGAATAAAAACATATAAACTGTTGCTAGAAATGAATCATTGAGGTTGATAAGTAAAGTTTATTAACTGAAGTTGGCATTCCAACTCCCATAACAGCCACATATGGATATTAACAGTATAAAGAAACCTAAAGTTTGTTGGAATATTTGTAACTGTTTCATTTTTAATTACTTCATTTCTTTGCTTTTTGTTTCATTAGCAGAAACTTCCTTCTTACAAATAGTTCCAAACAGTGAATGGTACTTTTAGATATGGAGTATTGTGATCATAAGCACCTTTACTTGCTCCTAATTCAAATTGTTATATTTCAATTCATGTGTGAAGCTTATGATTATAAATTAGTTTTCATACACATTGTATCTCCACTATTGTGTTGGTCCTACTTTCACAGATAGTTCTGTTACTAAGGTACATTTTTCCTTTGCTCATTGTAAGTTGTAACTCATTACTGTCATGCTTAAGTACCTTATACAATCAACTTAGTCTAATTATTATTAATTAGTTCTGAATTAATTTAATTAATTTATATTAATTACTAATTAGATAATTACAATGATTAATATATAATTGCAACAATCTTACTATAACTACTAAGCTTGTACTTTAGTTTTATGTGCCAGTTTTTAATTCATAACTTTTTTTTGTGTGTTTGGCCTAGTTTTCTGTAATGTTTTATAACATTAGCCAAGATGAAAAGATGTTCATCTGTTTGTTCATCATTAAGTTATGCTGTCTTTCCTTTAGATGTTAAAATTAACATAACTGTATTATATCTTTACCAAATAAAATAAATATATATATATATATGTACATACTCATTCAAACATGTTTGTATTTTTCTTTTATCTGATCCACTGTTTTGTATTAAGTCTTTATCTATTTTTTTTAATGAGATACAAATTCATTCTCCAAAACATTTAGTGATAAACTTTCACAACTTAAAGTTTATTCCAACATATATATATATATATATATGCTAAATTTTAACAATAACAATAATTATTGTAACCATTAAAAATCAGTCCTATAGTTATCTTGCTATAAATAATCTTTTATCTAGCAAATAAGTAAATACTGTCGTGTATGAAGAGAATGGAATCACTCTGTTAATTGCAGACATCCACACATAGTATAAATACAACACAGAAGTAGAATACTGCAGATATTGTGCACATAATCAGCCAAGTTGTGCTTCTTGCTTCTGGGGTCTGCAAAAAATAAACCATTCATTTAGTGACTTAACTTGCCACTCATGTTGTAGACATTGTGAACATGTACTTATCATGAACCACTATAGTGGTTAATAATAGGGATAAAAAAGAATTGCACAAAACCGTAATAAAACGTTTGGGCAAAAAACACCTTCAACAGTAAAGATTCAGTTCAAACACTTTAAAACCTTTACTGTTGACTACTACAGCTGTACACATATAAAAATGCATAAAAAAAAGCATGCACATTACACTTACAAAGAGACTAAAATCTGCTCAAAATGGCTCATTTGTAATTCTTGTTATTATTATTATTCTCTTGCAATCCTACAACAAAAACAGCTTGGTAAATTGCACCCAAACCTTCTGTGGAATGCTAAATAAGATACTGCAAAGGTTGTAGGGGGTACTGAAAAGTTGATTTGTTTCTTTTATAATTTACATAATCTAAAAAACACCATAATTCTAGCATAAACAATATTATCATTATGCCTTGAATTTAGCTTTCTTACAAATATCTGGTATTCATTTAAAAAGCTTAAATACAGGGTGAAACAGGAATTACCAGCCAATAACAGATGAACATTACATGACTATAACATGTAGATACTCAATGCTTTGCACACTATACAATCGGTGTCTTTACGGAGCCAACCCCTTTATTATGTATGAAGGAGTAAAAAAAAATCAATACACATAATATTAAATTTTAGCACACACATTTGTAGAATAATTACTTAAAAAGACATGAAGGTTTATTTAAAGCAATGTTTTGGATGTGTATGTTTTATTTGAAAAGGCTGCTTTTCTACTGATAAAATTGTGTACGTGCTTAGAGGGGTTGTGTCTTACTCTAGTATATAGTTGCCCATTGCTCTGCATTATATAGAGGAACTGAGTCCCACAAAAACTATAAATGCTCACTATATTCTCAAACAAATCTCCATGACAATCTCCAGTTGCAGGTCAACATTTTACATCTTGAACTAGTGCAATCAAATAGTCAATAACTACAGTAAATCATCATGAACCCTCTCAGCTAGTTACTAGCTATGTTTATTATCATTACAATGTCTGAAGTTAGCTACCATATTGTTACGACAGCGGAAGTCATGTGACGCTGGTAACACGTGATGAGTTTCTAGAAGGATCATGAAGGCCTGAGTGTTTGCCAGATGCCCTCTATTTTAGTATATAAGCCTGGCAAAAGAATTGCAGATAGACAGATATAGAGGTGATAATCGAGTCAAGCCATAAGTAAAGTGTGTAAATCACTGTGAATTATAGCTAAGTTAAAGTGACTGTGGAAATTAAGTGTATTACAAAGTTTGTAACGAGAAAGAATAAACTAGTTTTAATTAAGAAAGGACTTGTATCGCTGAAGTTTCATCGGAAAGAAATTATACAGGAAATTATCAAACAATATCAATAATATCTGAGAACTTTGTAATTGCCTGCAATTAGGTCATTTTAGCCAGACATGCAAGTATACAAAGAACAGAATAGGTAGTGTATAAAATTTCAGAATTTCTTGTTATTTAAAGCAACTTGATATATGTATAAATATATTCTCATTTTCCATCCATTGTTTTTGATAAGAATTTTTCAAAACAACTTCCATTTTTGTGTAAGTTATTGATTTAAATATTTACCTTGGGAACATACTGCAAGTTTTCATTTGTTTTGTATAAAATGACATACATGCTTATTTTTGTTTTCAGTAAAAATTCTTGAGCACATGGAACCCTCTATTTATTCTTCCATCAGGTTTTGCACAAGAGGGGAGGAGATAAAGTTTAAATGATTATTACATATGATTCCAAATTTAATAAAATTACATGACTGCAAAATCAAAATCTGCATTTCTAGACTTCGCGTAAAATCAAGTCTAGGTCAGTGTTACCACATTCATAACTTTTGACTTTGTTTGTGCCCCTAATGGCACAGCAATAGGTGTGTGGACTTGTAATGCTAGAAACTGGATTTCAATACCCCTGGTAGGCACAGCAAACTTTGTGCTTAACTACAAACTTTGGTTGTTTGTTACTTCACAAAAACTAAGTTGTTGTTGTTGGTAGCAAAATTTCATTAATAGTGTCTAACATTATATTGTTTGTTTGTAGTTATGCACAAAGCTACACAATGGGCTATCTGTGCTCTGCCCACCACGGGTATCGAAACCTGGTTTCTAGCGTTGTAAAACATTATATTAAATGTTATTGTTTTAAACTGTTCTTACTTTAGGAAAGGGTTTACCAATCCATAATTTTAAATTGTTAGCAACATTTTATTTATTTCTTGTGCTGCTGCATAAAAATCAGGTCATTGTTTCTATTTATGTACATAAAGAAGTATTAAGTATATAACATGATAAACATATATTAAAAGTAAATATAAAGTATGTAAGAAGGTTTACTGTAGACATTAATTTTAAAGGTGATGTTTTTCTTTTGTTTGTTTTGTGATTTTTTTTAAACCACTAAAGAAAGAAACTTTGATTAGTAAACAGAATGATTTTACCATTTTTTAAGATTTGTATAATAATTTTAATTATCACGATGTAGAAGCACTGAAGTGTACATTTCTAAACATTTTCCCTGTGCTTTAGTTTTTCATAGTTAATTGTGCAGACATGTATTTTCACTATATCTCATCAGTCACTCAGGTTTTTACCAATAAGACTAATTTATTTTCATAACATGGCAACATTATATTTTGGATGGCATCTGTAGTGATTAATTTGAATGTGTTCTTACTTTAAGACATTAATAACTAGAACTCTTTATGTAACATAGAAATTTTGCATGAAAGAATTGTCAAACTTAGTGGGAATTATTTGTAACATTGAATGTAATTTCTGTTCTCTTGTGTACTTCGCAGCTGTTTATCATTGGGCCAGACAAGAAATTAAGGTTGTCAATGCTGTACCCAGCAACCACTGGACGGAGC